TTTTTACCCTGCGTGGCTTGATACGAGCTCACTGATACAGGTCACGACAACCACAGCGGGGGAAAGGCAAGGCTTACTTCACAGTGGGGTCAGAAAGGCGAGAGTGGGCAGGCTTACTTCACAGTGGGGTCAGAAAGGCAAGAGTGTCCAGGCTTACTTCACAGTGGGATCAAAGAAATAAGAGTGGCCAGGATTACTTCACAGTGGAGTCAGAAAGGCAAGACGTGGCCAGGCTTACTTCACAGTGGGATCAAAGAAACAAGAGTGGCCAGGGTTACTTCACAGTGGGGTCAGAAAGGCAAGACGTGGCCAGGATTACTTCACGGTGGGATCAGAAAGGCAAGACGTGGCCAGGATTACTTCACAGTAGGGTCAAAGAAACAAGAGTGGCCAGGATTACTTCACAGTGGGGGTCAAAGAAACAAGAGTGGCCAGGCTTACTTCACAGTGGGGTCAGAAAGAAACTTGTGTGGGCAGGCTTACTTCACAGTGGAGTCAGAAAGGCGAGAGTGGGCAGGCTTACTTCACAGTGGGGTCAGAAAGGCGAGAGTGGGCAGGATTACTTCACAGTGGGGTCAGAAAGAAGCAGGAGCTATCAATGGTGCCGATGGATCAATTTATCTGATGTTGAGTTAAAGCTACCATCTTTCTTGAGTGACAACGATCAAAATGTTATTGCTGTTTTTGATAAATCTAGCGTCTGCGTTTGTCGCGGCCGCGACCCGCGAATCGCAGCCACGATTTTTGGCATTTTTTTGGTGCGCGAATCGCGGCCGCGACTTTTGCATTTTTCGAAAAGAAAAGGCTACCTCATAACATAGACGTGTATTTTGATAAATTAAAGGTGTCCATATAATTATTTTAAAAAAATATATATTGTTATTTTTACTCGAAGATTTACATTTCATACTATTTAATATATTATTTCTGTTTGTCTTTTATTTTTCCCTCTTTGTTGGTGTGTTGTTGTTTTGTTTTTATTGTTCTGATCTATTTTTGTGTGTTTATGTTGCAAAATGTCATTTAATTTGATGCTGTTCGTACATTTAAAAAAATATTAATGTGTTATATTAGAGCGTGTGTCCACCAAAACCGAGTACTGACACTGGCAGGCCCCTTGTGTGTGATTCCTTAATTTATATGTAATATCCTGTACTTTTTCTGGAATTATGCACGTTTAGGGTTAAAAGGCTAATCTTCGGATAGATGAACACACGCCCTTATTTGTTTTCTTTTAAGGTTGTTTATGTGCTGTTCTAATTTTGATTTCATTCTGTTGCGAAACCTTTTTTTTCACGTTTTCACACTCTGTGTGGCTACAGGTTATATTCTGGATGCTTTAAACAGAGCTCAAGAAGGTTCTGATGCTTTAGATTAACTTATTATGAGTTACTTCTATCCACACAAGCTTATTGCTACGTCGTCACAGAGAGTTGAAAGCTTGAAAATTAATGGCGACTTTTATGGCAACTTTTGCTATTTTTGTGGCAACTTTTGGCAAATTTTGAAAATAAAATGACAGCAAACGCAGATGCTAGACAAATCTCTAAACTTCATTAAAAAGAGAAAGAATAGGAAAAATACGCTAGGGGGGGGGAGGGATGCCAATTTTCTGTTTTTAAATGTCGGAATTGTGAACACTAATTGAAGCACCAAAATGTTATTTTTATAAGTGACCTACATTTTTAGACAACTTAGTATTTCTCAAGTGAACGGAAAAGCGTAAAGACTCAAAAGACAAGACTTTTAATTTATATATACAATCAAAGAGTGGTACCTTTCTTTTGATTTCCATTACCAGTATAGCATAATATACCAAATATCCAGAAAACTTTGAGACAAACTCTTTATTTCAGTACAATGCACCAGATATCCAAATAGCTTTTTAGAGTACACAATATACGATATCCAAAAAACTTTTTTATAATGCAATACATCATCTATCCAATTAATAATTTTGAGTCAAACATTTTTAAAAAAATAATACAATACATCAAATATCCAAATAACTTTTTATATTACATTACATCAAATATCCAAATAACTTTTTATATTACAATACATCAGACATTCAAGTAACTTTGAGGCAAAGTCTTAATTATAGTATAATACATCAGATATACGATAGAACTGTGCTTTGAAGCTCTATTTGAACAAAGAAATTACATCGAATCAGAAACATTCATAAAATGCAGGGGAAAGCAAGAAAGAAAACAGAAATATTTCAGCACAAAAAGTTAGTGTTACGAAAAATAGCCTCCTACTTTGTACAAAAGGAAGTAAACAAATATTTCGACAGTAAAGGAAACCCTCATTAACAGTTTAATAACAGCAAAGCAAAAGCTCATTAACGGCAAAGCAATAAATTTGTGCCAATTATAATTGCATGGACAATAACTTACTGTATATATTATATTATGAACATTTTTGTACTTGACAAAACGTTGACTGCTGAGTAGGCCTATTTCCGTGGCCAGAAATCAATGGGCGGATAAAATTCATTTCTCAAACAAGTAATCTCCAATTGGAAGACAAAATGCTGCAAGCAAACATTTGAAACAGATAAGTGTAAATTGCAAGAAAATATAAGATCAATAATCGCTCTCCAAATTTCTCTTCACTCTGGAAACGGACACTACACTAGACTCCCTTTTACTGGAGAGTGACAAAGAAAAGAAGGAGGGGAGAACAGGACAATAGATGTTTGCTAGGAAAGAAGCCGCAAACCATAACAGAGCACCTGC